ACCAGAGAAGACAGGGTTTGAATTTGACCTTCTCAGGCATCTCATTTGGAGAATAGTTCTCAGTCAATGACAGGTTGGTACAGACTGGTAATACCAGTTTTTTTGAGATGTTCCCTCACTGGAGGTGCAGGTGTCTGTATAAAGGAGATGAGAATGCTTTATCTAAAGCATTTGTTGATTATTCTCATTTCATTACAAGACAATATTTTCCCCTTTTCTGTCAACCATGCCTTCTTTTGCTAATTAGAAAGTTATTGTTAACAGATAAACATGAACTTGCACACAGCACACCTAAAAAAATGTTCTGGCAATAAGAGTTATTTTCTTTTGCGTTCTATTCCCTTCATTCTGTATTTCAATTCTAGTAATTCCAAACCTTTTTGTAATTGAAGAAACAAGGTTTGAAGAGTCTACATAAACATCACAGGTTTGATCTTTTTGTATCAGATCTTAATAAATGAGATATTTGAATGAGAAAATAATGTTGACAAATACTTGACCTACTTCAAATAGCACTTTGCTATGGTCACAAAAAGGAACATTTCTGCAGCAGAATAAAATTTTACTGTATCTAGGATTGCAACACAGCCATTTCTAGACCAGACCTCCAAAACAAGTTTCTAACTCTAATATGCTGAATTTCCTAATTTTCTCAAAAAAGAAAAAAAACCCCAAACCTGTAGGCTTTAAGAGTAGGACTGCTTTTGTTTCAGAAATAGGGCTTGTGAGACAGAACAATTTCATCTGATACATACTGTAAAGAAAGATCTGAAGACATTTCTAGAAGAAATCTAAGATGTGAATCAAATATTACTTTTTCATTGTAGAAGAGAAAAAATTATAGCCCATGTACTAAAGATTCAATTCTTGAATTGTACATTTTGTGTTGTTTTAAGGAAAAATGTAGCCTTCTTAAATGAATGAAATGTTTCTCACGGTCAAAACATAAGGCATGTAAAAAGAGTAAGAGCTACTTTAAGGTCCCACAGTGGATGCAGACTTTCTAACTAAGAGATAAACTCAGTAAATACTTTTCAGTACCACTGAAAGATGAGGAAAAAATTGTACGCTCTTTTACAATGAATGATATACAGAACTTTTTGAAAATTTAAAAGACTTTCATGGACTGAAAATGAAGATTGTAATGAGATCACCTTCAGACATTTGCTGACATTTTTGCTGCATACATACATCTGAGTACAGACCTATTTTGTGATCTGAAACAGAACAAGAATGTCTGAAGAACTGTCGTTTTAATTTCACGGCCCAATTATGCTCGGGACAAGAAGTTATATGGGTTAGAGAAAGATAATTATTCTGACTGGTCAAGCAAAAATGAGAAAGAAAATCATCCAGAGTTACAGTTTCAGCTGCAGGTGTTGATTGTGCCAAGCTGATATTATATTACCAAGACAGGCACAATTTTGTCACCTTCAATCTTTAAGATTTACAATTTCAAGAGATCTTGAGGGATGCATATAACAAGGTGTGGAGCTATGTTAGAAAGGTATCTCCCTGAAAGCCCAGGTTGCCCTCTTCTGGAGTTAATTATCTTGCACATCTAGTGGTCTTGGTTCATGGTCAAGTTACATGAGGAATATCTCACAAACAAAACAATCACCTGACTATAAGGTATTTAATTTTTCATTTGTGTTATCTTACAGAACACCTACTAAACATGTATTCAGATGATCAAGAAAATTACATCTTGGCAGGACAGAGTTACATATACTAAAGACTTCCCTGTGCAATGGAGTAGTCTCACTTTTAGTATAGTAACTTTCTACGCTAGTAAATGTAGCAGCTGACATTACTGATATGCACTCCAGCTTGAGGTGCAATGCAATGCTATAAAAGCACAATCATTCATTCTGAATTCTAGAATGCTTCTATGAAGTCAATGTTCTTGCTGCAGATAAAGCTGTGACAACAGCTCATGCAAAAGCTGCATTCACACAGAGAAGAGTTTCCATCAACCTGTTGCAGGTTCTTCCACCAGCCAAAGTTCAAAACAAATAACAGAACTTTATCCTTATATCAGGCAACCTGATATTAAGGTATCTCCTGTCATCCATGCTTGCAACATATGTAGTTTTGTTTACTCTTCAAGGCCAGCTGATGCCAAAGCTAAAGCACATACTTATCATTATATGTGGCCTGTTCTCCAGCTAATTAATTAGAAAATGTTGTCATATGCTGTCACTCAGATAATATAGTGCTGTGGTAGAGTTCAGTGATCTTCTACTTGATAGAAATATACTTAAAAATTGGGATCCCTGTTTCAAATCAGGGGATCTAGGGAATTAGCAAACACCAAGAGTAAAACTGCAATCACAAAACACAAAAAGGAATTTTCTCTAAGCTATCAGTAGTTACAAAAGCATGATTCTTTTGGTAGTAGATTACTGAGGTAGAGGTAAAATGATAAAGATTTTAAAAACAGAATAATTATTCTGTTGTATTCATCTCTCATTTTTATCTGAATGTTAATGAATCATTGCAAGTTTTCTGAAGAAAACATAAAAAGCACTGAAATTGAGTAGGGAAATACTAATGCCTTATTTAGATGTCAGTTCCTGATTTAGAAGTCCTGTAAAAAGCACTGTGATTGTTCCAAGGAAGGAAACAGAAAACCACTAGCTGCAGTTACTATGAAAATAGGTTCCTTCTGTATATTTTTTCTTTCTGGTCAGGCAGAAGACCCTTGAATTCCCTGCTTCTTGCTGATGATGTTTTTTTTTTTTTAAAAAAAAAAAAAAAGCAATACACAGGAATATAATATAAGAGAAAACACTCAAATGTGCACAAATCCTCAATTATTATTAAACAAAACATTCTTTTAAGGTGCAGATGTTCCACAAATTTTCAGAACAAATTTTCAGAACAAATTGGTAATTCAGATTATAATCAAGGCATATGATGAACTGTAATTGATGTAAGTGTAGATTTGGAAAGGGAACAAGGAACCTTTCAGAGAAACAACAGCTAGCTAAAGCAGGAAAAGCTGTAGCAAAACACAGAACACCGCTTTTACTGCTCCTTGCTGACCATTATTATTCAAAGTTCAGCTTTTAACAACCTAGGTAAGAGACAAGCATCAAAGACTTTTCCATGAGAGACTATTTTGATCTGTTCTTTCCAGATTTTGTTATTCTCTTTCCACATTAGTACTTCTTGTCTCTTGCAGAATTACAGTGCATCATCTATCATTAAGAAGTCAAAAGGAATTAAATGAGCAAAATAAAGTGTTGGTTTTTTTCATTCATGCTAAGATTGTTTCTAATCTGTTATCCTATATATTATTAAAATAATTCTAAGATAACAGCTTTTGCCTTTGTTATTTTTTCTTAGCTTTCTTGGCAGAGACAAGAGAAAATTCAGCTTTCACTCAATCCATAAATCAAATCATCCACAAATTAGAAACATTTAGTTCTAATAAGCATGAGATTATGAGTTCCAATTTCAGACACAGTTAGATGCAAAAATTAGAAGTTACTGAGTGTAGTCCGTTGTAAATTTAATCAAAAAAGATTATCTTAAAGTGAATCCAGAATCTATTAAGAACTTAACAAGAACTGTGCAACAGCAGAAATCTGGAGAAGGTAACATGTAACACCAATGAACGGTCATTCTGTTTTCTTATTTTTGCTTTTAAACATCAAGAAGTATTTAGCATCATTTGACTACCCAGAATAAAATTGTGATCGCTGAAGAGAATTTATAGTAGATAAAACTCAATAACAATATAAAACACACAAAGCCCTAAAGAATCAAAATACCCTAGATAAATAAAAGATACCATTTGAATTAATTATGTCCTGTTAAGTTTGAAAAGATTTGCTATATCCATGAATATAAACACAATCTTCTAGTTTCAAAGATAATTTTGATTATATTATATTATAGTCCACAAAACAAATATGAGTAATTCCTGATTATTTAAACTCTTTCTTTATCAAAGCAGATAGAATTTCTCACTCTTATTTCACAACAGTTCTCTAACAATATAGTTTTCCTTTTATCTAGCTATGAAATTAATTATTTTTTTAAATCATTGAAAAGAAACAATTGTGAGAATTTTCAAATCCTATCAACAAGGAATGTAGAAGATTAATCTAATTTCAAGATTAATCCTACAGAGGCCAATTGATATGCTTGCATTGAATTTCAACATTTGTATTATTTTTTATTTTGCATTAATCTACTTCTATTTATATCCTAGATACCCTATCTCTTTAAAATTCCATCTGCAGATCCAATAAACGAGCTATTAAAGATATTTGTTTCAATACATCAGCTTTCCCAGATACCATACTCTTCTGCTACAACTTTGGCTTAAATAAAGCAACTTGCATATGAAATTTGAAGGGACAAAGCTAAATGCTTGGGTTACCAACAACCTCCCACTCCTGAAGTTTTGATCTGTGAAAAAGAAAATATTTAAAATTTTTTTAAAGCATTTTCATGATCTAAATTTCTATTTACAGATAAAACCTTCACTGTTATGATGACACTATCACTCTGTTCAACTCTTATCATCTGAGTAAATACACTGACGTTTTGCTTTAATGAATCCCATTAGTACTGCAAAAACAGTCTCAGGTTTCCTAGAAATGTCCCCTTCCTCATCTTTACTGGTGATTGCATAATGGTTTCTAATTACATTTTTTCAACTTAAAATTCTTATTAAATTATATTGACCACAAAATGATGAAAATAGATAGCTACAATACCTAAATTCTAGGCAAGTTTGTAAAAAAAAGGTTTGATGTACTTAAAATACATCATTCGGGGGGGGGGGAAGCTATGTTTTAATAATATTGGTCATGAAATATCAGAGCCCTTTGTGAAGCAGTAGAAAAACATCAGTAATAATGTTGTGTATTTATGATAAATGTATTTCAGTACCAGAGACAACAGCAATTCCAACTTAAAGCCAAAGACCTATGGTTTTATAAAGTTTTGTTGACAGGCAAAGTAAAGTGTTTTTTTTTCTATACCTGGAAGTTCTTTCTCTTCAAGACTGTATTCCAGAGGTCCAAAGGAATAATTAGCTGGACTGATTGCAGGAGTAGAAATAAAACTTGCACAGCCAATGGATGAGTTGATTTCAAAATAATTGTGGCTGTGATTCATTCGGTGAAATTCCAGGGAAGATACTATGGATGTACGTTGCTTGGGCTACAAGAAAAATAAAAGGTTTGGCATGAAAAATAGAAACTTTTTGTATCATTTTCATTTACCATTTAATAAATCTACCTAGGGTTTCTCTCTTTTTACTGTTTTTATTTGGTTCAAAGGCTATACTAGTAAAAATCACTGCATGTGACAAGCTGTGTAGAGATAATTTCCTTCCAAAATTTCAATTAATTCTTATTAGTGAAAATGCATGTCTTCATTCTAATCAATTTAATTCAACATAAAGTAGGCTTTTACATTTTTGCATATAATAATTGCAATCATCTTTTGATAAGAAAGGGAACTCTTCACCAGCTGCATTGCTGGGTACATCTTGGAAAACAATTAGCCTGCTGATGCCTGTATAATGAAATTTACTTAATAATACCAAGCACTCATCAGTCCAAAACAACTCTCTGCTGTTTAATCCATTTATGAATATGCCTTAAATATTCAAATGACTGAAATGTCTAAAAGCTTAGGGGAACGGTGTCAGCCTCAAAAACAAACACAAAAATCAAACTTTCTTCATGAGTTTTCATGGAATAGTGTGAAAACTTTGTACTACCTTATGTCAAACATTTACTTTTGAAGTGAACATCTGAACAGACCCCACTCAATGGTTTGGCTTTGGATTGCAGAGTAGCTTCAGAGCATGAGAAACTCATTTCTTTTGGGTGGATCTACACCATAAGGTGTAGAAATTAAATCCATATAGTGTCATCAGCAACAACTTTTTCACTACCCAGCCCTGTTCCCGTTGCACTGCACCACTTATTAATACAGACATAACCTTAATGCTCGATTTCATGGGTTATAAGCCACAGACCACTGCTGTTTTGCAATGTCATGCTAAATAGTCTGTTGCAGCACTCATCTAGCTTCATACTCAAAATATCCTGACCCCACGATGCTCCTTGCCACTTCAAGACCAATGACCTGAAACATAAAACACCTCCAGAAGAGAGGAGGCCCTGCATCCAGGTTTATTGTTGTCTGCATATTTATTTCACAACAGTAAGAAAAACTTTTCAGGAACTGCTGCTTTAAATAATTAATGCTGGAAAAAGTAAATAGAAAAAAAGAGAGAAAAAGGTGCTTTATCTCTTATTCTGGCATGTCAAGCTTAACAGGTCAGAATATTTGTAAAGGTCAAGAATTTTATACTTATTAGTGTCAAGACCAAATTATTGTCTTTGAGAGCAATAAGATCTTCCTTGGACCATGAAGCTATTCACCATGCCTTACTTAGAACTAGCTGTTAAAATACAGTCAATCCCAGTGAAGTAATTTTCAAAGTTTTTTGTGGTCTATTTATTACTTAGGTTACAAGTCCTGCAATGTTTGTGTTTCAAACACCAAATCAGAATTTTCAGTAAAAATTCACTCTTTCTATAGGAATGTCAGAAAAAAAATCAACCAAACAAACAGACTTAGGTTCGTATCATGGTGATTATTTCTTAAAGTTGCGTTAGGCACCATGAGAATTAACTGTGTCCAGTTAAAACTGAGAAAAATTGCAAAGGAAACTTTGGGCATTCATCTGGAACTCATCTATGGTCTGTTGAGGGGATTTACTTTCTTTAATTATTAAAAGCCAGTTTCTGCTTTGAAAGGCTGACTCTTAGGTTTAGTAATTTCATGGGAGAGTTCAATGAACAGGGACAGACTCCAATATCAAACAGTGTAGTTGAAAGTCATTGTTTAGGACCTGAGCCAAAAAACTCTCTGATCAAACCAAAACCATTCATGAGTATTAATTAAACCTAAATGGCACACTTTTGCTAGACAACAGATTCATGAATGACCTAATTATTTCTAAACCTGAAAAAGACATCCAGTCATTTAGAAGCATGTTTCTGGCCCTTTCCCAAGCAACAGTGTCTTTGTAGACTTGCAGGACTTAACTCCTGAGATGAAAAGGTGCCATGTCAATTAACATGATGTGTCATATTCCTCATTATTCTTTAGCTGAGACAGTTTCTACCTAAATGGGTACTTGGAATGGTTTCCAAAGCAGTTTCAAAAGCAACTGCTCTGGCCTTTGTCTAGTCAGGTCTCCAGCCACTGCTTTGACTGTGTGCCCCTTTCTTGAAGCCAGAATAGAGGAATCTGATACCCCATTTGGCCTTTTACCATCTTAAAGCTGATGAGTTGTTTGACTACACCTAAGTGTAGTATTACAAGCTCTACATACTACAAGTATTACATACTCTAGTATCTTCTAGAAGTTTCACAAAAAAACATCTGTGAGGACTTGATGGATGAAAGGAGGAGAGGAAGTAGGTAAACAAACTAACAAAAAAATGCCAAATTTTTCTGAAGCTTCTTTTACAGATTAGTTTAGTTTACAAGTGCTCACAGGTTCTAGAAGTGTGTCTGTCAACAAATAACTATTTTCTGGAGACATGGGTTAGTGATAAAAAATAATTCTAGAGTGATTTTCAAAGACGATTATGGAAGCTAGAAACACATTTTATGTTTGTTGTGCTAGAATGCAACCATCTGCTGACTTGGGTGATACAAAATAGCTTGTATTTTATTTTGGGCTTGGGCATTATTATTATTAATTCAGAGAAACATATTTCACTTTAATATGTCTTTCCAATCTAAGGATTCTGAACAGAACTTCACTCAGCTTCTATTACTCTACAGCATTACACTTCTGCTATATTGTTTGGAGTTAACAAGGTCTGTCTGTTAACATGTCCCAATAATTTTCCTATGTAATTACAGAGGAATGTAGCATCTGAACTTTTATAGCTAACTAGAGGAGCCTTTTGCACTTTTGCTGGGTCCTGTAAAATGTTATGCTGTTATAAGTACACTAATTGTTCACTAATATATGCCAAAAGAGACTCAGTAAACCAGTATGTGTTGATTGCATCCCTCTGCTGTTATCTCTCTGAAGTACCATTTGCACAAAAAAATATAGTAGAAATGTAGGATTAAATTCCATTCCAGATTTAAATAACTAAATTTACAGCATAGATATATACATCTACACTAGGTATTTAAGCTCCTGTAACAGTCAATTGAGATCTAGTCAATAAAATCATCAGAGTCCAGTGAACACTTAGGTTCACCACAGCCACTTTGGTATTAATTCACTTTTCTTAATGCAGGTATTGACCATCAGTGCAGATTCCCTATGACACCCCACCTAGCTCACATCTAGACACACTCTAGAAACCTTACTTCCTTTTTGAGAATCTGAAGTAAAATTCCAGCCTTACTGGCAGAAGCCTTGGTTTCATGGATTGCCTCTGCCAAAGCCACTCTTTAACTACATTTACCAAGAACTCTTGAGATAGGTTCTGAAAAATTCTAAGATTATTTACTATACGGAATACCATAACTTAGTCAGGGGTCAAGATCTCCTAGTGGAGATTGTACAAACACAAAACTCTGTCCCAGAGAGATGATGTTTAATTCATTCTTTACAGCCTGCTTTGTCGGTCATTACATGCCTTCTCTGTACTACTCAAAAGGTCTGGACATGCTTAGATAACTCTTGTGAAACTGTAGCATACTTATGGTTTAAGTTCACCCCAATATGTATGCTACATAGCTGCATGCAAATTTGTCCTTAAGTAGATTTATATTCATTACATTCATGTGTTTAATTTACTTGTTATGTTTAAATCTCTTTAATGACTCATGTTTACTTCTATGACTTTTCTTCACAACTATTACTTTAATTGTCATAATACCACCCTAGAAAACCCTAGACTATCCTAAAACAGCATACCAGATCTAGCTAATGAAGAAAGCCTATCTATGCAAAAGCAAAAATGTACCAATAAATATCTTCAAAGGTACTGCAAGAACAAGATTTAAATAACTTTCAAATCAGGTCCAATAAGAAGAATATTTTTTTGTTTTGTCTGTAGTGAACATATATCAATGAAAGATACCACTTTGAAACTGCAAAAACAGGAAAGGCATCAAAATACAAATTAAAAAGACAAGTAAGGATTTAATGCTTCCATGAATGAAATTTGCATGCAAATTCTGTAATGCTACCATGACTGGCATGGAACACTATGAGCATGGAAGGGATCATTCAAATATTTTTGACAACATTTAGCAGAGGAAGTAGGGCAAAATTCCTTTCTCAATTTGATAACAAAATATTTCTCCAGCTTTGACATACGCTATAGGCTTGTGACTTTGCCTTCTTTTATCTTTGGGATTTGTGCACATAGCACCATCATACCCTCAAAAAAATTGATTTTCACAACAGTCTGTACTATGGCAAAGCTACTTGACCCATTTTACAGATGCTAAACTAAGGTATAGAGCTTTCCCAGGGGGACAAATGTGTGGTTTATTAAACCACTGAGAACGAATGAGCCTAAGGAAATCTGCATTTGGCAAATCCTACCAAATTCCAGCTGCCCTACATAATGTAAAAACTGGTTTCAGTTGCACTATACCATGCAGAAAATGTATGACAGAGAACCGAACCCACATTCTCAAATTCTTGCTAGTACATAAAATACAGACTTATCAAAACACGCAAGCCTCTTTCTCCAGGCTCATCTCACATATATAATACATTATAAGTGTAGTCATGTGGCCACATAAGTCTCGCATTTTGGTACCTGCCCAGATGATTCCATTCTTTCCATTCTCTGTTTAGCTCACTCCTACTTCAGAAATTTTCCATTCACCAGCTTTTTTCCTTCTAAAATCCCATTCTCTTTCTGTGCTCTCATTTCCCCTTTCATAGGGTCACAGAATGGTTTGGGTTGGAAGGGGTCTTTAAAGGCCATTTGTCCAATCTGACCTTGAACACTTCCAGGGATGGGGCATCCACAACATCTGTGGGCACCTTTCTTTTTCTGTTTTCTCCTATCTATTGTGACATTCCTTCCATAACTACCTATGTTACTCTAAAATACCCTTCACAGTATCCTTGCTGATTCCAGTTCTACTTGGTCTTCCAAAACTTGGTTCTCTGCTTTCTCTGTTGTTTTGTCATCAAGGTCCCTCAAACT